TTAAAAATTAAAAACCTAGATGGATATAGAATGGTTTGGCTAATTATCTTTCATACTTATCCTGCTACATTTGCTTGAGTATATGCGTCTGTGTGTTAGCGTTTATATGCGTTTATAGGAAGCAAATCTATGTTGACTTTTTGCTTAATTTTCTTTCCAACCTTTGTTATATGATTAAGATTGTAATTTTAAAGTCAATGATGATGAGATGTATACCTTTAAGCACGTTTATTAGATTACTAAATCACCAGTCCTAAAATTTTAGCCTAGAATAAGTATAGCTTAGCCACCAAAGAAAAAGCATGACTACGTCTGTGTAATTATTACCCCTGGTTTGGCTGATTATCTCAATCTAACATGTTGGATGCTTGTGAGTGAAGTTAAACTCATTACTGGACAGACAACCTGATTTGCCTTCTTTTGGATGGTGTCTCAATACCCTATATATCGTTCAATCTATCAATCAACTGTAAGTAGTTCTCACTGAGCTTAATACCTCCATTCATCACATTCAGGTATTTTCTAATATATTAATTTCTATATTCTCTCTTATCTTAGCAATTGACTTCAAAATTCCTACCTTAGTTTTGTAGATATTGTTGGAAAGATAATCTAAAAAAGAGCCAACATATGTCGACTTGCTATGAACATAACTATCTATCTCTAATGATATGAACATACAAAAAGGGTAATAACCTATTATCTTCCATTTCCACTCTCAATCTAATGTTCCTTTCAAATTTGTTAAGGGAAAGGAGGAAACTATCTTATCTTTTCTTACCAAGAGGCTAGATGAGGCTAGAGGTTATTATTGCCTCTTCCAAGAAGTATTCCTCAAATCTTCCCATATAATTTTTGACTAAGCTGGCAGCTATGCAATATCCCATCACAAGTCAGTTTTCTTGTTTAAATACCTTTCTATCAAAGGTAAAATTGGTTCTATTTATGGATAGGCTAAAAAGTAAATCTATAGATGCGAAGCTCAACCTTAATTGTTTCAGGATTTCTTAATGCTTCTTCAGAGTTTGTAGTAGAGCATGAAAAGCTCTTTGAACAACAACGTTTGTGTACATAGACACTAAATCAAAACTCATTAGCTTATCTTCTTCTTAATTTATCTGATAATTAATTAATTTTACAAGCTCATAAAATTTTTAACTTAATCTAGGCAAAAGTCCGCAGATTTATTCAGTCGTATGTATAAAAAACGCAAGATTTTATGCAGCAATCTTCCTTTATTTTTTATATTAAATCTAAGATAGCAACATCTTTCTTGTGAACCTTAAGGAGACCGCAAGCCGTGAGGCCCTTTGCATCGCTCGGGAGTAGTTAATTCATAGTACATTTATCCATTTCACCATTAGTTATACACAGTTTCAGATAATCATTTGGTCTAATCTTAAGTCATTCTGTAGGAACTCTCATCAACCGTTGGTATCATTTAAATGATCTAGCATTTTTTTATATAATTCGGAATATCAATGCCTACTACCTCTCCATCTTTGTCGCCTTTTATAATTATTATATTATTACTACATCAATACATAGAAACCATACTAAGAATACAAGCCTTATTTGGTTGGATTATATGGTAAAAATGAGGGATTACCTTAAGTTCAATTCTATTTTTTCCCTTATCGTGTAACCTATCAGATAAGCTAATTAATTAAACAAGTATGACCAAAGAATTTTTACCTTATTTGGAAGTGCAAATTTCAATCCTCTTTCCAATAAAAGTTTCACACTACTCTCCGAGGTATGTTGGAGTTATATTCTATCCTTCCCCAGTTCGTTACAAACATGGAAACCACCTCTTATCTTAGGCCTAAAGATTCTTGATCTTGTACAAATTACCAAGTTCCGGAGCTTCTTTACATGCATCCGCCCTGTTATTCTGTCCGTGGCCTCTCCCAACCCATCTCCATGCCAGTTAGTGCATCAGAATATGATTATTTAAGCCTGGTTTAAGTTTTAATTAGATCGTGGTGTCTTTCAAGTGTTATTTAAGCCTTGTTTTAACAAAGCACACAATATTCTTCTTGACCTAGCATTAACGAGAGACTATAAAAAAAAGGATTCCAGCTCTGATGATGTCCATCATATGATGGACAAAATCTCAGTCTGTTTTCGGCCGAAATGAGGGAGGAAGTTTCGTGGACTGCATCAACCTTAATGTAGTATTAAAGCCAAACGGCTAAAGTAAAAAGCATTCAACCATCGTGTTCTGGTGAAATGAAACTATGAATCTCTTCTTCATGCACTTTTATACTAAAGGTAGGTCTCCCCAAAATAACTTCTTCTCAGTCTAGGACAACACTCAACTACTTACACAGAATCAATATAATAATCGAATTTAATACAGAAAAATTAATATATACTGCTAAATTATTGTTAGCCAAATTTAGTTAAATGATGCCGGCATTCAAGAAGTGGAAGGTTTAAATCCCTGTTTTAAGGAAGACCACAACACGATACTGTAACTAAAACATGTCAAAACATCATAAACTATCATATAGGTGTATATATTAGCTTAATTAAATATAAAACAAAGATATCAGAAGATTAAAACATAATGTAAATTTTAAATGTTTTTCTTATTTATTTTTGGTGCGTAACTTTTAAAGGTCTTCATTCTCTCCATCCGCAGCGATGTCGACACACATTGACACCAATGCCAATAATTATCTGAATGACGTGAGAAGCCTTCAATAGTCCTTTAGTTAAGATTAATGAACACTTGCTTTGTATATATTTGTAAATAGTACTAATAGATACATTGTATCCACTTCTAATATATTTTTCTGACCACATCACCCTTCATTATGCCTGATACGCAATATGCTTCCCCCATTTTGAGTTGCGTATCCAAGCAGCAGACAGTTTGAGAGGCTCTTGCCTCTTGTTTTAAGCCTGTCTGTTATTGGTCAGTCAAATCTCCTAGTCCCCCGCACAATCTTTTACTTCATACGTACATCATAGAACTTCGTCAAGGTTTAAGATAGATATTTCTCGTTCTATACAACTCAATATTATATTTTCAGCCTGAACTTGAATTGTGCTGGGCCACAAAAGCCTACCAGCACGCAGAAATACATTTTAACCTGCTTTGTGCTCTCCCTGATACGCGACTTCTTAAGCTTACCAGTTTGGATGACGTAATTTATCAGAGATTTGAGGAGATCTTTAACGGTATGGAACTGAAAAGTATGGATGAGTTGCAGCTAAAATCGGAATCTAGTAAAGCGGTGGGTTGCAACAAATTTGATATCTTTTAGTAAATAGATATTTATACATAAAGCGCTTTTTTGATACCTCCAGACATGGCGCGACTTTTGTAACGAATTTAAGGAGAAGGTCGATGATTTTAACTTCGCAACTCTTCTTCGTCTAGATGCCAGTAAGGGATATGATGCAACAAATACATGTATTGGTGAGTATGATGCTTGATCATTTATAGCTTTTATTTCATGTCTACTAACTACCACTTTTCAATTAAACCTCTAGTTCCGCGAATTCAATTTTTGACTATTGAGATAGCACGAAACCGAAGAGGCCTAAATGACACGAGGACTTTGCAGAAATACAATAAAAAAATTTCTTAAAAAAACTTATCAACATAGCTTCATATCTTATCTAAATAATGTCTCACTCAAGAGAGACAGCACTTCCTCTATCCTTTATCTTTATATACAAAAAAGAAGACCAAATCTCCAGGCTCGCATTTATTTTTACAAAAAAAATTTGCACTAATCCCATCTCAGGATTGATTGTAAAGTTATTCCGTAATAGGTTGCTTTTTATCATATGTTATGTCTAAATGAAGGAGTAAGTCTGGTTCTTTGCTGGTTGACATGTAGACCAACTGTCTCAGTTTGCCGTTTTCTATAAGCTCCCACACACGTCTAATCTAAAAAAGTGATGCAGTATTTCCTTTATTTTCACATTTGTTTGAGAAAAAAATGTTAGCCGTATTGCTGCTAGGGTATGTCGGTAGCATTATCCTTAAATTATTTAAGTTAATCTTCTTTGATATTAATTAGTGTTGAGTAGCAAAAATTCTGTAACCTAAGATCAGTCTGAATCGTGGTCACTGATGGGCTAGTGCGTGTCCATGCTCATCAAGTGTTAAGTTATTGATAAATTCTAACGCTCAATATTTTGCTGGTTATTTCTTTAAAAGTATAATTTTCTTACAATATAATAAACGAGAATGGCTAAGTCGTCTTGGTTAGGTAAAAATTTCGGCGGATGGGCAATTCTTATCGCGTACATTCGGGTAATAATGGACAATGGAAAAGATAGTTTTCAAATTCCGTCTTTAAAAAAATATTTCACTTTCAAAACTACTCACTTCCATGACATGGGGCTCATTGTTGAACGGAGCTCTTTGGGGTCCCTTCAAGCCTACTTCAATTCTTCGGCATCCATCATGTGTTGGAAAGATACCATTTAATACCCCTGCCAAGCCTGAAAATATACATAGTTGGTTGAAAAGTAAAAAAATCAACATAAAGGGTTAAAGGTAAAGCAGGGCTTCATAATGTGCTCATATGCTTAAGCATGGTATCTATTTTTCTGTCCCTACAATACTTGTCTGCGAAGCGGGGGATAACAGATTGGTCTACTTGCACGAGGATTAATCCTGCTGCAAAAAAAACAAAAAATCTGCTAGCATGAGCGAATTCAATCCTACTCAAGGTTTTCAATAGCATTTCATGTTCTGGGAAAAAATGAACTCAGCAACCAAAAGTTGAGGTCGAAACTGCAGTCCATCCTGGATGATAACACATTTTTGGAAAGCAGGACTATGTGAAATTCAAATGAGGCGTCAGCCCTACTCCAGACCCCTATCGCTTTAAACCAAGTAGGGTGGATAGATCTCGAATAACTGAATAGGAAACTGTCTGTGGAATAGGTAGCGAAACATGGAAGAAACTGAATATGGGATTTAACGATGCCAAATCTGTTTCATATTCAAACGCAAAATCAAAGATGATCATCCGATTAGCCAAAGCATTAAGTAAGAATTTAAACCAGAAAATACAATGAACTTCAGGTATATCAGTTAAGGATAAGGTGAAGATTGCTTGTGCGTTAATGGTATACTTAAAGGAAGAGTATTGAATCGTCTAAAAAAAGGCGTCAACTGGTCTTGTTAAAATTGGCTCTTATCGCTATCACATTTTCTATATATGCTAGTTCACTCTTGCTTTCTAAACTAAATACAAAAAGCTGAGCAACTTCATCAGGTGTGTGCAACATTATGCAATCGCAGCGATGAGTAAAATATAAGAGCGAATATGGTGGTAGTGGTCATTAAATCTTGATGAACGGGGGCAGATGTTATGTTATGTTTTAATGACCTCGGGCTATTACTACCGATTTCATGCATATACACACACACCAAAGCACAGAAGCACACTGGAATACTCATAGATTTAAATATGGCGTGAACTAACCAAATCACCATATACTTAATCAAAATTCATAGTTTTGGAATATATGTACAGCAATGACAGAATGACACCTTGCTCTGATGCTGTCCATCAAATTACGGACAAAGGCTTAGCGCCAGAATCGAAGATTTCCTTGGGGAGAGGATCGACAAGAATGTTCCAGTGAATCTGATGTTTTCTGGCGGTATACATTTTCATCTCCACGAAATCCAACTTGAAATGGAAATAATCTCAACAATATCAAACCAAGAAATTCTTCGAAACCCAAGTCTTTCGTAATTACGAATCGCTCCCCAAATGAGGTGTGCGTATCTGACATTCATAAATGGAACAACCATAATCTAACTATCCCACCAATAGCGAATCTGTGTGAAATGAATTTTCAGAACGAGAGACTGAAATCAACCTTACCTAGCAATGACCTAAAAGGGCAATTAAATAAGCTCTAAAGGTTGTTCGACCTTGCTTTCGCAACTTGTTCCTATTGGTAGGAAGACTTGAGGAACGCACCCAGTCCGGAGTCCATTGTATGCATGATCAATTCAAAATTCGGACCCTGGATGAGGTACATTCCGAGACGTTTCGCCGGCATCGTCAGTGAGTCTTTCCATTCTTAGCATCATACTACAATTCGTCAAAGATACAAGTGAAACCGATCCTTTGACCAAAGGTGTGCTAAACAGTTGTAATATCTTACGTATTTGAGTAGAGTCTCGAGACTGTCAGTAAATCAGTAATATGAGATGTATTCACCCTATTTAGTTTAAGGTGATGAACGACTGGTAGTAGAACTTACGCACAATGATATAAGTAGAGCTGACGTTTCCGTTGAATTTCACATTGCCTTGCTTTCCCAAAAGTTGTTCTCATCTCCCCTTCTGCCCTGAGATATTCACATTTCCTATATCCTTCTATCACGCCTTCACTGTTACAATTTTTACTCTGTTTCGATGTAGTGTGGTGTGCACAGATAGGGTGGTAGGGGTCGAGTAAAATACGTGAACCAGGGTAAGAGCAGATGGATCTAACCGGACAAGAGAGAGACTGTGATAAGACCTATGGAAGGAGGACTGCGTAACAATATGGCAGACTGATCAACATTCCCAACACAAGAGTTAAAGGGGTGAGAACGACAGCGTGGAGTGTGAATGGTTTTCATGAATGCCGCTCAAAGAAGCACACCACACTACATCGAAATAGGCACGGTAAAAATTGTAACAGGGAAGGCGTCATAGGAGGATATAGGAAATGTGAATAGACCAGGGCAGAAGGGGAGATATCACAAATGTTTAGCACACGTTAGGTCAAAGGATCGGCTTCATTTGTCCCTTGACGAGTTTTTGTGTGTTTCTAAGAATGGCGATACTCAATGACGATGCCGACGAAGCGTCTGGGAATGTACCACATCCACGGTCCGTCTTTTGAAATGATCATGCATACAATGGACTCCGTACTAGATACGTTCCTCTAAGTCTTACTACCAATATGACCAAGTTGCGAAAACAAGGTCAAACAACTTATACAACGAAAGGAGACTACGACCACACAAAAGGCCACACCATCTTAGTCTTCATACCTTAAATAAGCTATAATTTGATTATAATATCTCCTACTGATTTTAAGATGAGCAAGGAGCTGAGTGGATTTATTTTTTACCCTCTGATGCTCATTTCTTGTACACCTACTCACGAGACGTGTTGTTTATGCAAAAGGTTAATGCACCTTGAAGGTTACAACTCACTCGTGCCAATCTACCTGAGATAAAGTTATCGAAGACACATCATCTCAAGGTCAGCGCTAATCCATTCTTTGGTAATAACTTTGCGATCAAGTTTATTATAACCGAAAGAAAGGAACGTTGCGTATCAATTGTTAGAATCTATTTCGATTTACCCTACTCTAATTGTCTTCTAAGCAACGGATCATATGTCTAGGCCTCTACTCCTGCAATAAGTACTTCTCATCTGACTTAATATACGTTTCATTTCTTCACATTACCACTTAATATATATTGTATAGATTTTTCTGCTTTCTGTTTTGATAAATGCTTTTCCTTTAGAAGAAAAAATAGACCATATCATAATTAAAATATTGTTATGGAGGACTGATGATGAGTTTTTTCACAAATAGACTATTCGGCCTCATGGTGCCATTGAATTTCACTTAGCTTTACCCACCAAATAGTATTCTCATCTAGGCTGTAATAAAGTCTACCTGGATCTCATCAGTTCCAAGACGGGAATTCGACCTGAATAATGCAGTGTATAGTTACGACATGTTACCAATATGGCAGATTATCACGAGTGCCAGTCGGACGCAAAGCGAAAGTGAGTTCCAATATAGGCTGGGCCTAATCTAATTTTTAAAAATTCATAATTAGTTCTTTATCACCTGAATTAACCTTAGATGGCTGGAGCTCTATTCAATATCTATTTATAGACACAAAATAAATGCAAGTAATGCTGTCCATGATAGAGAACATGTTTGCTTCAGCGACAATCCCAATTCCAATTAAATATGGTATATGAATACTTAAAATTGTTTGACCCTGTTTTCGCAACTTGATCGTATTGTTTGAGATCTAAAGGAACCTACCTTGCCAGGACTCTGTAGTACTCATGATAATTTCCAGAGTCGGACCGTGGATTTGGTACATTCCCAGACGTCTCTATGGCATATGCAGTGGGCCAAACTATTATCACGATCACACTACAGCTCTTATCTTCTCTCCTCGACGAGCTTTAGTATGGTGCTAAGAATTGTACCGCTCACTAACAATGCTGGCGAATCGTCTAGGAACTTAGCAAGTCCATGGTGCAACTGTTTATTATCGTGGATACCATGGACTCAGAACAAGATGCGTTCCTCTATGTCGCCTTGACAATACGACCGAGTTGCGAAAGCAAGATCAAACAACTTATATACGACGAAAGGAAACCATACTAAAGACCACAATATCTTGTGCTTTGTACTTTCGAATAAAATAGGGAATATTTTAAGTCCAACTTCATCATTTGCTCAATCGTTATTAATAGCCAGATTCACTGAGATGAGCTGTAAAGACAAAACGAAAAAACGGAGTCCAAACTAATTCTAAGTGTCTAAATTTAATTAGTATCAAGTTGAGACCTTTGC